ATTTTATTTTATTTTAACTCATTTATTTTTCCTGTAATTAATGAAAGCTCGCCGGCGTCTGGAAGCGTCGGCGTCGACGTCGAGAACGGTAACAGTATATACCAGTGTGGTCGGCGAGACTGCGCCGAGATTTCCACGCGAATATTTCTTCGCCGGTGGAAACCAAAAGAAAAAGATTAAAGTAAAATAAAAAATCTAATTCTCACCGAGAAAGAGTGAGAAGAGAAAATATGATATAGACTCCCCCGCAACGATTCGCCTCGTTAACAGGCTCCGCACCGTTAAATCGCATGTTTATTAAAACGATGCATAAATTTCTGTCAACCTGGTATACCGATAGGTTGCTTCTCATTCGTCGAACGAACACTTGGGTTAATTTTCAAGTAGATTTCTTTTCTTTTAACTCTTGTCCCAATTTAATCTCGTTTGCAGAAAATATTTTTTTTTTTAGGAAAAAATTTTCTGACGTGGCCACATGTGCTTCCATATAATTTATAATTGGCTCTCATATAAAAATTGGTTACATTAGATCTTACCTGGCCATATATTGATAGATCTCGCTTGATATGGCTTGATATGCCCACATAAGGTATTATACAGCTACATATAATTTTTCGACCAAAGGAACCGTTAAAAATTTTCGATAGAAGGCGTACGATTGCTGAATCGTCTCCATTCGAGAGAGTTAAGTTTAATATGTTCAGTTCTAAAATAAAAATCATTACTTGTATGCCTTAAGCACGTCAAAAACTTGTAGTATAGTCTGATGTCGATAATTCAATCTGGATTAGTGACAATAAACGCCAATTGAATATGTTGGTTTGTTTATTTGAAACGTGTATAATGCACTGATAGACGTTATCAGACTGATTACAAATACTCTAAACACAGCTTATAAAAATTAAATTAGATAATTTACTTTTGAAGCTTTTTACGTCCTACATAAAAATATGTTGGTAAGTAGTTTTCTACCATAACCTAACTGTATTTTAATAATTCTGTCCTATGAGTAATCTAAGCTAAAATAACGAAAAATCAAAAAATTAAATCTAAAAGATTATATTGGTTGCACGTTTATTAGCAATTCCTCTATAGAAAAATTTATACACTTGAATATATGATGGGTCCTGAGATAAGGCAGTTCTACGCGCGAATACTACCCCTTTATTTATCATCTTGTTATTTATTTTCAATGATTAAATTTAAAAATAAAAGAATCAATTTACGAAGGACTATTATTTACCCCTGATTAGACAAAGAGATTTGAAAAGATTCGAAATGGCTCAAAGCGATTAAAAAAGATTCAACTTGACAAATATATAGATATACATTTTGTATGGGTTGAATCGTTTTAAATAATTTATTTTAACAAGGGACATACTCCTGCCAAGTTTCATGGAGATATCCTCTATTATTGCCTAAAAATCAAGGTTTCAACGTTTTGTCACATTAAATCATACTTGATAGTCATAATGAAAATATTATGAATGATACAAAAATCACACTGTCAAAAATAAAAATTATCGCTGAACTTGAAAAAATTTTTATTACATCAACTAATAACCATTTTTACATTAAACTATAAACTAAATAATTTTTGAAAAAATCAATTTTACAACCTAATTTATTTTTCAATCTTTTCATCCGATATATAAGAACTTGGAAATGAAAATTGCAGCTTAATGTTTTTTGTTTTAATATAAGTAATTTTTGTCGACAGATAGTTGGAGAAATTTTCTGACCTCTGAGCAGCCATGTTGAGGTTTAATTTAAATTGATTAAAAATCAAAAATAGTATTAAAATTATTTGTAGAAACTTGTAAATTTAAACTTTACTCTGATTAATTTATGTATGACATGAGTGCTTAAGAATTTACCAAATTTTTTTCACACTGCTAAGAAACTTATCCGAGATTGGTTATTAGTTAAATCAATTGTTTAATCAATTTTTGCTTAATACGACTTATTGAACTCTCGCAAATTTGTAGAAAAAAAAACATAAAAGTTAAAAATTAGAATCAATTACTTTCTTATTCTTATATGTAGCCTGATATGGCTATATATGACCAGATCAGACCATATTATAAAATTTTTCCGCTGCAATCGGTATCGTTTGAAATACATCCAGTATGTCGATATAAAACTCGTCGCAGGACTTTACAAGACGACAAATCTCAACTTGCTTCTATTCGTTTCGTTAGATGTTTTATGATAGAACTACCAATGGATATGGATGATTATGATTAGGGACCTCTATGAGTGTGTAGGTAGATACGCTAACCTGAGTGTCACGCTATTCATTCCCTTCTTCATACTAGGTACTAGCACACTTTAATAGCTAGGTATAAGGTAAAAGCTATTGCCATTGCTATTATACACAAAGAGAAGAGAATAAAGAATAGAGGGGGTGTAATGGCTCCAGTAACTGCAATAAATAAAAAATATTTGTAACCGTTAACGTGCTAAGACGCTTCGGATTTATATTATTATATTTATATAAAGAGAGAGAGAGAAGAGTGCATAGCTTACCCACGTATTATTATTATAAGACCCTATCGATGAAGTTCACGTGGGCTCGATTGTGTACGTGGGTCTGCTATACGTTTATTACACCATATAATATTTACTGCGTACCTATAAGACTCCAACTCACCGCTAGAATTCACGCTGAATCATCTTTTCACCACATATTAATATTATTATTGTGATTATCGATATGATTATGATTATTAAGTTAAGACTGGTAATATTATACATATATACCATCCCGGATACGATTAAGACTTTTATTCTAATATTTTTATCTACTGGATAGTATTTATTGTGATGGGATAAATTTAAAAATTTATAGATTGGCTAACCCTGAAACTTTCCGCAATGTAAACGAAAAAAAAAATTGACTTAAAAATTACACCACAAGTAATATTAGAATTACATTTCAAGAGTGGCTTAGTTTTAGAATCACAGGTGATAAAAAATTGAATAAATGTGATATGAATTTCATATCACTTCTTAGCGCATACGCAAAAGCCAACAATTAAAAGAATGTTCAATAGAAATACGGTGGCTGAGCGATTCAACCCTGTGAATTTTAACCCCGGTCATTTGAACCTCGAAAATCAACCTTGGTTATTTTACCCCCCGGTCATTTGACCCTTATAAACTCAACCTTCAACAATATCGTCCTATGGCTATTTCATCCATCGAAATTCATGATCGGGACATTTCAACCCCAGAAATTCACCCTGCATAAAAAAAACATATATTTCAAAATTATGTTGTATAATATAATGTTTATTATATTATATTATAATTTATAGTATAAATAATTTTATATCATAGAATAACTACTTTTTTGCCGTTTTCAATATAAAATTATATAATTTGTAATTATATCATTATAATATATAATTTTATATTTTGGCATATATTAAAAATATAAAAATTCTATATAATATTGGATTATATAATAAACTTATACGTCAATATATAATATCAATTTATATAATCATATATATCATAACCTTATAATTTAAATTATATATTAATGGTATAACATGAAATATATTACTTACTTATAAGTTAAGTATATATTAATGGGTATACATGTCAATATATATTAACAAGTAATTTGGGGTATAAAATTTATGCTTACTGTTTTATATATAAATTGTACGTCTCATGTCGCGAGACTGTGTGAGATAGTGCTTCATATCCGAAATATGAAAGTTAAGCGATTCGGTGATCTTCAAATACCTCTATTAAAATTATAATGCACTTATACACTAATTTAAATAGACTTATGTCAAGATAATACTTCAATTAATTCATTAAAATGTTTTTGAAAAATCATCTAATATTGTTATTTAGAAAGAAAACAATTAAAAAAAATTTGACGTAGACGTCCAGTATTTTATTTTATGGTTTCCTATTTCATATCAATAGTCTAGCTAACGTCGGTTCCTTTTTAACCCTAGACTGGTCAACAAGCGCGACCTAACGACTTTGGTCGAGTGATGAGGGATTTGCTACAATGCTTTGAGAGCGTACAGTGTTGCCAGTTCATGCACGTTTGACAGGCAGAGACTAGAGGTGTTTTCGGTAACGCCACGGACAAAAAACTACTTACGACTCTGGTCAAGCGATGAGGAAAGCCCCGCAAATTTTTTTGAGAAATTTTTTTTCAGCAATTTAACGTTTTCGAAGATGTTTGAAAAAATTATTAACATATTCTAAAATGTTCAAGGAACAAATTCAAATTTTTTTGAATAATTTTAGTAAATATTGAAGATGTAATAAACAATATATAATTGAGCGCAGCGTCACGCTCATAGAGTGACCAGTCTAGGGTTGAAAAATCACTTTTCATAAACATTTTACATGATACATAGATATGGACAAAAACAATCATACTCTTCTTATTCTTATTTATCTCACATAAAAACGATAGTCCCACCGAATTCTGTTATAATAAGCTTTTTCAACTTCTACTAAAGACATTAGGTGGAGTCACAAGAGGTATTAATGATAAAATTCAAATCCTTAGCTGCATTGGTTTAGATTAGGACAGTATTTTTTTTTTAAATAAGTAAAAAAAATAGTTCCTTAAATGAGCATCATAAGACGTTCACTCCGAATTTTCCAAACTCTTTGATGTTAACAGCATTGTGGGCTGTAAGGAAAAATCAATAATGTTTAAATTATTTACTTTATGGAACAATTATTTGAAGTTAATTATTTATTGAACAGAATCAATCTTTAGAACAAGTTCAAATACAAAAATAAATAATAAATAATACAGTAAACAATTAATAATAGTAAACATTTTCAGTGAAATAAAAAATTAAACGAATGAAATAACTTGATCAAAATTGAAAAGTAACTGCTCAGTCTGCTTTATTCGATTTTTAAGCCTGAAATATAACATATACTTATTTAGTCAATAAAGAAAAAAATGTATATATACATGACAAAAAAAAACATTTTATGTTAGAAAACTAATTTTTTTGTATCAATAAAATATTTCGAAGATCAAAAGTTGTCTCAGTGAAATTAAAATATTTTTTTTTGAATACCTTAGGTTCATCGATACCATTTTTTTTGCGCAGAATGTTTAAATAATTATTTATGCTCTGTCCCAAAAAACCACGTTGGTAAGACTGAGGGTGCCTTTTCTTTACGGTTACTAAGAAATATTATATAATTTTTAGAGTTATTTAAAGATAAAGTGTTAAAAAATAAATTAGACTAAAAAAAGGTTTGGATCAAAAAAATTATTTTTAGGATTTTGATTATCTTGAATCAAGAAGAAAAATCTTGGATTCATAAAACTACTTCAAAACATTTGATTGTCTTGAATTGAGTACTAGTGTTATTGAATCATAAAAACTTTCCTGAATGAAGAAAATTTTATTTTGTTTCAAAAAAATTTTTCGCTTCAAAACGAACAAATTCATCAAATAGTTTATTTGAATCAAAATTTTTCTCAAGGAATCAAATTAATTTATCCCTCAGTGTATATTTCTTTATAGGATATCACAAAAATATTTTCTCTTTTAGGAGAAATTGGGGCGGTTTCGTACAGCAGGGAGTATTCATACAGTATACATTTTGCCAATTCTAAAATTTCGTAGTGCTTCGAGTTCCGGGCGTGAGTTTTGCGCGTAGATGACCACGTATTTATATTACACGTACAAATATGAAGACTTCGACGCTTTAGTATTGCAAAAATACCCACTATATAAATACTCCCCGCTGTCCGAGACCGCTCCACTGTCCCCTATCTATATCATAGAAAAATTTAACTTGCCAAAGCAAGGTCCGGTGATTATGCTTTAAAAATTATGCAGATATTTTAAGAAACTTATTTATTATACCACGGATAGCTTTAAGGATGGAAGCATCTAATCCAGATCGTTGGACTGTTGAAGGTTTGCACCTTGACTTTCCGCCCGCTAAATTACTGTTCAATAATACATCTTGAGGAAATAACGCAGACACCAATGAAGTTCCCATCGAAGTATAAGTTGCTTTTTGAGTAGCTGTTTCCCATTGGTCTTTTGTAATGAAAATTCCACTTCCTTTCTCTCCGATTTCAACCTAACATTTTTAAAATTTCATTTTATTCAATTTTTTTAAAGTTTTGTTAAATTACTCGATTTCAGTACCATTTCATTGCTATCTTCGTTAACATTATGTTCCGCGATATTTTTCACCGCATTTGTGAGTTCAATTAACGTTTTTTTTATAAATTTGTTATCTGCAATAAAAAAAAAGAGAAATTTCGCACGTTTAATAATTGTTTTGAAAGTAATAGTGTTATAAAAAGAGTTACTGCTTAGAATTTACTAAAATTTGGGATAATAGTAAAATTTAGTAAGATTAAAAGTCTACTAAATTTTAGAAAACTTATAAAGACCACAAAAAAACATTGAGCTTTTAATGTTTATGGGTTAAACATCGAATCAAATGAGAAATGATATTTTTTATTCTATTTTACAAAAAGTACCGGTCAAACTCTAATAAAAATTGAGGCGATGAGAGTAAATAACATGTTAAATGATTTTCACAATTAAAAATCAGGATTTAGAGCATATAGTCATAGAAGTTTATAAAAAACATTTAAAAATTATTTCTATCGCTCTCAGTTTAATGTAATTTTTCATAGACAAATTAACTACGTAATTTAAAATTGGTTTTGTATTCAAAATTTAACCCTTGCAGTGTCGACTGTATTACCGTCATGAATAACTATACCTGAAAGAAATAAAATTATTATCGAACAGTAAAAATGAAGTAAAATTTTGGCTTGAGAGTAAAAAAACCCCTTAGTTCCGTTGACAAAAAAAATGCTATAATGAAAAATCAACTTTCGTCGATCAAGAAATTTTAGAAAAATAAAAATAATCTTGAACGAAGTAAAATTTTTTCGATTAAAAAAATATTTTTTTTTACTCGACGGTCAGAAAGCATCAATTTTTGGCCCACTGCGGTAAACAATTTAAAATATTACCTTTATAAATTTCTTGAAGAGAAATTTTTAAAGAATGTTCGTCATTTGACAGAGGGCTAATTCCAGATATACTAGAATTCTCGTCTTCTTTAGACTGATCTTCAGGATCCTCAATTGACAAGCGCAGGCGCTTTGATGGAGGAACAGTAGAATTTTGCAGTGTTGGTGTAAAGTTGCCAGATGCAGCGCCAGTATCCTCTGCAATTGCCGAATCCAATTTTTTTGATGATTCTTCTCCTTTAAGATTTTCTCTTTTCGCTGATTTATTATCATCCTTACTGCCTAGCATTTGTTTTTCCCACTTCTTTTTGACACTTTCTGGGTGTAGGCCGTGTTCAGGAGATACCTCGCACTCTCTTTCTCTCATGAATTTCGACAACTTTTTTAGGCTAGCTGTTATAATAATCGATTAAAATGTTTTTTAATTCATAAAAAGTATTTTTTATCTAAACGTGATAAAGGGGAGAGTAAATTTATTCTCGTATTAACATAGGGGAAATATTAAGTATTTATAAAAGCTAACATTATAATTAGAATTATAAAAACATAATCAATTGATAGTTTAATGTAAATATCTTATAGTTTTTAGAAAAGTGTTACCAAATTTTATTTTATAAAATCAATTTTTGAAACTCATGTAATATTTGATAAAACAAAAGTTATTTTTATCAAAATAAAATTTTTTTTACGAAAAATTTTTTTTGCTCCAAAAAAGTAAATCACTCCGATAATTTTTAGTTCAAGTGAAACTTACTTCTGCACAGATAAAAAATTAACTTGGCGAAATAGAAAAAATTTTGAATCAAGAAAATTTTTCTGATAGAAGGACGGATTAGATCTTAACTTAATTAGATCTTAACGAGAATATTTTTTTTTCCACAAAAAAAATCATTTTGTTTAATGATCTTGTTGGTTCAAAGTTTTCTCTCTTGAATTGTTTAAACTTTTTTTTATCGTAATTCAATTTTAGTTGTAACTTATAGCTTACCAGAGACTGCGACAACAGAAGCATCATAAACTGGCCAGCCTCCTAATTTTTTAAATTGATTTTTTGAAACTTTTTCCCTCCATTCAACTATGTATGAAATGTCATCTGATTCTTTTTCCCATTCTTCTAATGTAAAATCCCGTATCCACTCAATTGGGATTCCGAGTGTATAGGTTTGATGAAACTTGCCTCCAATCCAGCAAACCAGAGCATACAATTGTTGATTATTCTTACTCATCATTTAAAAATATTTTTTTAATCATTTATTGTTTTAGTTAAAATTTTATTATGAAAATACTATTTATTTTTGATATGTTTATATTACGAGTAAAAAAAATACTTTAAATAGGTTATTTATATTTAATAAGATGTGTCATAGCAACCAAATAAAAAAGTAACCAATGTGAAGTTATTCACGTTGTTTATTAATTAAAACTAATTAAATGCGATATATTATCATTTATAATTACGTATGTGAAAGTCATTAAAAAATTTATTTAAGCAATGAAAATTTTAAATTCAAAGGAAAAATCTTATAGAAAAAGCCGCGGCCCATATATGAGGTATAATCGTTTTGGGAGCACTGATAAAATAAATCCCCGTACCAAACGTTATTGGAAAATGAAACGCAGAGCTAAGATGTAAAGTATCTTGGGAGCGAATTACTTTTTAAAATTTAATAATAATGAAAATAGTATAAAAAAATAATTTACATTTAAAATAAATCAAAAATAATTATGTAAAATTATGTCGTAGGCAAAATCCAAACTCAGATTATGATTCCATTGACAGTAAAAAAGAAAACGATTGTAAATTACAGAATAACGTAAGTAACAATGAGGAGTAAGTACTCTGAAAGAATAGAAAGAGTAAAAATGATTTTTTACATGCTGAACGCCTACCAAAAATAATATTTCAAAAGATTTAGAGGATTGAAAATTGAATTTGTTCAAATAATTTTCAGTTCTTTTGTTAAATCAGAAAGTGTATTTAATCATTCAATAGATTTTATAATGAATTATAATTTTATTTTTTGTAATTTTGTCATTGCCGGCGAATGATTAAGCGATTGGTACAAGGAAAAAAATATTTATTGTAATAGAATGCAATTACTCAGGGAAAAAATATTCAAATTTTGATAAAAAATTTTTATTTTGGTCAGGTAAAAGCCCCAGTAGCTGTTCATGTACCAGTACATGCTCACTCTATGTATTTGTATATCTATATTTAAAAATGTAGATATACAAATGTAGATATACATGGAAAGAAAAAAACCGTTCGTCAGAGTATAAAAATCTTTACTTACAACAACCAAACTTTATGTTGAAACTGTGTAACCTCTATATGTACCCAAAGATACGAAATGTGTTTTTTAACATTTGCTAATTTATTGTTAGAATCCTGTGGAACTTGAGCGTGAAATTAACATGGAAAGCAATATTAACGAGTTATTGACAGAGCCTGTGATTGAGATGGATTTAGATGCTGATTATCTCACATTGGATTCTGCTAATATATTAATCAACCAGGTGACTAAACTGTAATAGTAAATACTTATGGAAGGATTTAAATTATGTGTAATGCAAGCCTAAAATTAGTATATTACATACCTATAGGCCAGTAAAATAAGAAAAGTCTCAGATCACAGGTAATTGTTGGCCGAGGCCAAGCCGAGGTTGACAAACATGTGATCTGAAACTTTTTTTTATCTTACTGTCCAAGGTCGCGTGTACTATTTTTCTATTCGACGTACCCGGAATTGGCAACTTTCGTTTAGCACAGCGGCCAAAAAGTTACCGCCCAAAAGCAGAAAAAAAAATTTCTTGAGTGAAAATTAAGATTTCAAAATCAGACTAATGTTTATAGCATACTCGGGAAAAAATTTTTAATATCTACGTATATCTAAATGTACCATGCGTCAGACCCAGATGTACAGAGATATAAGAATATTTAGATCTCCGTACATCTTTTACACACATAACTTGTAAATTTTTTATAGATCTACGTACGCTGTAGTAGATATAATGTTATCTAAAAAATGGTGCCCATTTATAGAAATTGCATGATCTACCGTAAATCTGGAAACTTTTTTCAATTGTGATTCCAGCATGGAAACGGTTGTTATGACAAAAAATTTTGATCTAACTTTTTTGTAAAACTTGTTATTTTCTAAAAAAAATTTCATATAATGGAATTCGTTTGAATTAATAGTTTAAAAGTTACGGGCCGAAAACGAGCTCAGAAAAAGAAATTGGCTTTCATTGCAAATGAATTTTTGCAATGAAAGCCCTGGTAATATTAATTACATTAAGAGCTAAAATTATAACTAAATTTCTCTTTTGTTGCTCTGAATACTCTTCTTAAAAATAAAAATACATATTCTCTTCCCAGTCTAACATATATATAAACAATAGAACAAAAAATAATTTACTTGATTTAAAAGATAAATTATTGCCTTAAATCAAGACGATCTAACTCTCCAAAATGATTTTCTTAAATTTTCCGAGCACAATGCTGCTATAAGATTGGCTTTTGTGAGTTATCTTGTACAAATCTATTTAAAATTTTCTCAAAAATGATTACGAGTGTCGGTACCGAAAACTTTCTCAAAAAATTCTTACTTTGGTTAAGGGGGAACACCACTGTGACGGTCGAAAAAAAAGGTGATTTTCGAGAATTTTTTCGACGGGGTTTTTTTTTTTATTAAGGGTACATTGAAGATTATTACTTTAAACTTTTATTAAAAAATATTTAATTATTACAAAGTTATTAACAATTTTGTAGAGCATTGGAGAAAATTTCCCCTCTCCATGGTCGGATCGATAATTCAAAAATGGATCATCTGAAAATTAAAACCCAAATTGATTTTTAATCAGTAAGGATGTAGTTATCGTCACACGTACGAAATTTTGAAAATTTTGATTTTAAAGATTTTTTTAGCCGGGTTAAAACAAAAAAAAAAAACAATAAAAATGATGAGAAAATTTTCAATCAGTCGCTTTTTTTTTAAGAATTATAATTTTCAAAATTCCGTACGTGCGGCGATAACTAATACAACCTTACTGATTAAAAAGCAATTTGGGTTTTTAATTTCAGACGATCCGTTTTTGAGTTATCGATCCGACCATGGAGGGGGAAATTTTCTCCAATGCTCTACGAGATTGTTAATAACTTTGTAATAATTAAATATTTTTTAATAAAAATTTAGGGTAATAATCTTTAATGTACCCTTCATAAAATAAAAAAAAAACCCGATCCCCAAATTCCTTTATTTTCCCTGTCAAAAAAATTCACGAAAATCACCTTTATTTTCGACCGCCTCAGTGGTGTTCCCCCTTAAGGCTGACTCAATTAATCAATAAGATTTCTCGCTTTTTTTTATTAATATAATTTAAATCTACAGGATAACATTGAAAGGAACGAGATTTCTACATCGGAAGTGCAGAGAAGTATGTTTGTTGATCCAAACAAAAGTGACGTTGATGAACAAATAAAAAAGTCAAAAGACTTAAGGTTAACTCGGAACAACAAATTGACAAATGAAGACTATATTAAAATTTTATTTACACTAGCAATTAAATTAAGAGACAATCTAACATATACAGCTGCTCTACATGTTGCGCAAGTGTTAGATGTATTTACTGATACACCAAGCAGAGCTTGTTCCAAATATTACTGGATGGAAATTTGTGAAGAATATTCGCAGGATCTATCTACTCATATCACATGTGTAGGTTGTGGCGGGTATCTTGGGATTAGCACGAAAAAACATCTTAAATGCGATAAGTGTTTATTACAAATGAAATCTGAGTCGTCAGATGGCTCTTTCTTATATTTATCGCTAACTGATCAGTTACGTAATATTTTTGAAACAACTGATGCACATAATCTATACTCACTACATCGTAAAAAATTTAATAGCTACGCGATAGAGGATATATATGATGGTGATTTATATAAAAAAGTTATGAAAAACACTACCGATACTATCAGTCTAAATTTTAGTGTTGATGGAACTCCAATTTTTGATAGTTCTAATAACTCCGCATACCCAGTATTATGCACAATCAACGAACTATCACCGGCTGATCGTAAGAATCATGTCCTTCTCGCGAGCATATGGTATGGGAATAGTAAGCCAAAAAATATGAATGGATATTTAACACCTTTTGTCAACGAAGCAAAGAAGTTGTATACCGAAGGGTTCGACTACTGCTATCAAGATAAAAAATATAATAAAAAAGTAATTATTTTGATGGGTATTTGTGACTCTGTTGCACGGCCACTAGTACGATGTTCTACTCAGTTTAATGGGGAATACGGTTGTGGACTTTGTCTTAACCCTGGAAAAGAAGTTAAAAAAGGGCATGGTCACACTAGAGTTTATCTTTTAGAGGGTATCAATGCTTTTGGTGAAGGACTGAGAAATCATAAAGAAACATTAATACACATTGATCAAAAAAAAAAAGGGATGAAAAATAAGTCGATCTTATGTGATCTTATAAATTACGATATAATTAATAATTTAGACGCTGACTGGATGCACTGCGTACCATTAGGGGTTTGTCGTCAGTTTTGTAACTTATGGTTTTCTTCTTCGAACAAAGATCAGAAATATTACTTTGGATCTTACTTGAATAATATTGATAAGCTTCTTTTATCTTATACTCCAACGATTGAAATTTCACGAACACCTCGGAAAATGAGTGATCGAGTACACTGGAAGGCTCATGAGTGGGTTATGTTTCTATTATGCTACAGTCTACCGACTTTAAAAATATTTATTCCTAGAAAATTTTTGGATCATTGGGCTTTGCTTGTCGACGGGATTTCGATTTTGGTACGAGCATCTATATTGCCATCGGAAATAATCTATGCAGAACAATGCCTAATTAATTTTATTAAGGGTGTATCAACATTGTATGGGGAAGAACATCTAAGTTTCAACGTGCATCTTCTAGCGCATTTACCACGCAGTGTAAAGAACTGGGGTCCGCTTGATTATCATAGTGCCTTTTTATATGAAGATCTAAATCAAGAGATAAAACTTTCCGTTAAAAGTTCCAACGGCGTCGCGGTACAAATCACTAATTCTTTCAGACTCAAATGTGCAGTTGATAAATTGAAGATTTTACACGATAAAAATTTAACTACGAAGCAAAGAAAATGTTTAAATTCAATTTTAAATAAACAAATTAACCCTCGACCTCGTTTGCAACTTGGAAATTTAGGCATCTTAGG